ATTGGTCAATTCAAATTTCAGGCGCTTCAGCCCAAGGGGAGCCATGCGAGGCCCTTAGCTACTACGGTCGGTGTGATGGTCAATTCATTCTTTTGTGCAGCACGTTAAAATCTGGAGCTGTCCCCGAGCCCGTTAAGCAGCGGGCTACGTGTTTGGGCCATAGATCGAAAGGAAAAAGAAAAAACCAGTCCGGCATTATTAAACATTGGATTGTCATTGGACAATCACATATGCTTGACTCTCATGTAAAACTAAATCAATAGTAATGAACACCACATTAAACTCAGTTAACTAGGACAAAACCACATTTATTTAACACAACCGCAATGCTTGACACGCCACTTACGTCTCCAGTTTTGGTGCAGCGGATCAAAGAGTATAGTTCAAAAAAGAACCTGAGGATGAAACAATTAATTACGCGATATTAATTAAAGTAGCTACGTCAAACTCACGGTTTTGAACATCTTGAAATGTTTTACTTAACTTTTTCAAGTTCGTTGTTTGTAATCAGTGCCAGTCTTCTTATCTTACCCATCCTTGTTCCTTTCGTGGTTTATTATTATCTCTTTAGTGATAAAGCTTTCACTCTAATTAGTCAACACTGACAACTTGCTGAAGAGCGATCGATAACAGTTTTCGAAGAAAATAGAGTCTAACATCGGATACACTTCACTTGTTTAGGCTACTCTTGCAATGCTGTTTTGTTCGAGCACTAACTCGTTCAACAGCTACGTCTGATTACAATTAGACTGACTGGTCCCAAAGGTAACAGTTAATTTTGTTTCCCGAGAATCTCAATATTTCATGGGGCGAAACCAAGGAATCATTGAGATTCGACGGAAACAAATGCGAATCATATGTGAAACTGAGTTAGTAACTTACCCTGGTACTAACGTGACTCTGCCTCGTTGTAAAAATACGTGACGAAACGGGCGACAAAACCAAAAGCTTACAATGTACATTGTAAGATTCGAGTTGGTTGACCTTGACTACTGGACGACAATCGACCGATCGATCGATCAGGACGAACTTTATAAAGTGGAGAACAAATGGAAATCTAAATAATCGATGATATGTACCTTAGAGCACTATACAGAAAACCAAGCACTGATCCAATCAACTTGTACTCCGTAGTAAGGCAGGCAAAATTCGGATATAGCACGATCCCATACACAAGTGTACCAAGAAGATTCTGAAAAACTGAAAAAAAAAAACAAAAACAAAAAAAAAACTGTCATTTAGATTACAATTTTCAATAATAATTATAATAATCTTTACTCGGCTCACAAACATAAATTACAAGGAAGGTATTAATACGTTACTGAAGTTAATTAATAAAATAAAAATGAAAGTTATTATTTTAAAAAAAGGAGCCTAGAGACCGCTAGGGAACCGGAGGGTTTTCGAGTTAGCCCCTATTAGCTATTCAAAGTTATTTTAGCCAAAAAATTAAAATAAATAAAAAAAGCGATTAGTAAGGAAAGAAAACCAGAATCCAGGAAATAATGTTCCATGAAGTTGTAATTGCTATTTAATTTCCTTAGAATATTGCTCTGGCAGTAAGTGATGATGTTTTACTTCTTTCGCAGAGGAAAATGTAGAGGTCTTTCAGGTAAGGTATATCACGCCAGAGATCTATTGCCCGTTATACAGGAGAATATTTCATCAGGTGGAACAGGTCTCGGCCGGACTGAGTTGTAACCAGCTGGTTGTTAGAATTATGTTGTACCCTTAAGGTGGCTCAAAACAGTTTCCAGCCCATAGATTTAGATGGGTCGTTATAACCACTATTTATCACTTGATGCTACAGTCATGGTGTCAAAAACCTGCCCAATCATTGGTGAACA